CCTCCCTCCCTCCCTCCCTCCCTCCCTCCTTCCCTCCCTCCCTCTCTCCTTCTCTTTCTCTGTCTCTCTTTATTTCCTTCTATGTGAGTTCTAGGACTGATCTGAAGTCTTTCATACTTATCATTTTACCTACTGAGCCCAGCAATTATTGTAAGAAGGCTCCAGACATGATATAAAATTTGGAACTTCCTTTCTTAACCTTTAAGTAGAAAGTGCTTTGGCATCTAAAACTTCTTATGTTCCTTACTTCGGGAGAGTTAGCTTTCCAAAGGTCACATTTAGAGGCATATGCTTCCTATAGTTTCTGCTTTGTGTGCTTGCCTTGCAAGATCCCATGACAAAAAAAGATTCCTTCAAGCAGGAAATTGGACATAAGTAACAGTCTCCTTGGGGTCTTCCCTTTCTTCTCCAGCACAGACATGTCCCTGTCCACTGACAAACACTCAAAGTGAAGAAATTACTCAAAATCAGAGAAAATAAATTGTAATAGCTCTTTCAATGTAAAATTCCAAATATTTATCCCATGTATAACTTCTTCTTTTTTTTTAAATTGTTGTTGCTAAATGAGTATCCTCAGAATAATCCTCAGCAGTGATTTGAGACAGGATGGTAATTACAAACCTTAGACCTCAAAGCAAAATCTAACAACATTATTATAGTGGAAAATATGAAAAACAAAGTTAAAATAGACACATATTGTAGAATTATCTTTTCACCTTCAACCTTACCAGCTGCTGTCTAACAGGTAAAAAGATTTCTAAATTAAAATAATTCAATTTAAGTCTTGTTAGTGTATGTAAAATCAAATACTGAAGTGCTTGAAATGTTTCTGTTTACATGCTTCTAAAATTAAACAGAAAAGATTCAATATAAATCACTAATAACTAAGTTGGGTAGATGATGGAATACAAAAAAATAATAAATGATGACGAATGCTGAGTTAACCTGTAAAACTAGATAAAGTATCTTGTCATTTATGGATTTGGGGACACTGGAGAAGAAGTTTGTAGGGAACAAATTAATAGTGGAGTTAGGGGCCTGGAGAGATGGCTCAGAGGTTAAGAGCACTGACTGCTCTTCCAGAGGTCCTGAGTTCAATTCCCAGCAACCACATGGTGGCTCACAACCATCTGTGATGAGATCTGGTGCCCTCTTCTGGCCTGCAGTCACATATGCTGTATACATACATACATACATACATACATCTGGCCTGCAGTCACATATGCTGTATACATACATACATACATACATACATACATAAATCTTTAAAAAAAATAGTGGAGTTAACACTTTATTCTGTATATGCGTTAATTTGAGGTTTTTATTATAGCTATAAATGATGACCTTTGGATATATAATGAAGAATGTGGAGAAGCGTACCCATATGCTATGTATATGTGATAGTAAACTCATTATATATTAAGTTTACATTAAAATTATTTTTACAGATGATAATATTTATTCATTTATCTATGATGCCTTCCAAAAATAGAAAACTAGCTGTTTCAAGTTTTAAATTAATGTTTAAATTAACACAATACCTAATTTTAATTATTTCATGATTCTGTTTAATAAATAAAGAAATTTATAGTAACTTAAAATGTTTTCTTTTTCATGAGATTATAAAATAGTCTCACTTAACTTTGATGTTTATAATATTAAAAATCCCATCATAAACTATGTACAAAAAAGTGAAAATAAAATGAATTATATTATAAGTTATGGAATATAGCTAATACTTTATCAATGGAAGTTATAGCTTCTCTTAATGGTTAGAAATGAAATAAAATAAAGTTTTATGTATATGCTTGAAAAAAGAACACAAACCTACAGAAAATATGAAGCTAATTTATAATAAACTTTAATGAATTAGAAATAAATGACTTAACAAATATTCAAGTTCATTTCTTTTTAATAGTGTTTACAATAGTGTAGCCAAAATGTCAACATTTTGTGAAGACTTTGTGTGTGTGTGTGTGTGTGTGTGTGTGTGTGTGTGTGTGTGTGTGTTTGTCCGCACATGAATGCAAACCTGTGCATATGTGCAGATAGAGGCTGGAGATTGATGCCAGGTGTCTGCCACTATCACAGAATCTTTCAATGAACCCAGACCTCACTGATTGAGCTCTAAAGATCCACCTCCTAACATACACATGAACACATAGCTCTGTCTTGAACTATGGTTACAGACAGAAATGCATGACCACACTTGACTTCTATGTTGATGATGAGATTTAAATTTAGGTCCTCAAGCTTTCAAAGTAAGCACTTTACTTACTGAATCATCTTCTCAGACCTAGAGAAGACCATTAAGCAACACCTATGAAAATATATGTGTATTTCAGTAATGTGTACTTTAGCTGTGCATGTGCATTATACAATTGCATATATACATAGTCATTACATTAACACTATAGAAGATAGAGTAAGAATAACATGACAAAGCATGTTTAGTAGCAATAATTTGCTATGAGAATAGGCAAAGAGCACATTATATACAATCTTAAACTTCTCACCCCATGTGATAAAGTACCTATCAGAGTAGTAACTTTAAAGTTAAAAATCCCCATGCAGTCCTATATATGATTTTCCACTCCTAGCCTCATGTACAGAAGTAATGATGAGTTTTAATGAAGGGAAAATGGCAACATCCTGATTTCACAAAAATGAGATGGCTTGGATAAAGACAACATCCATAACATTAAAAATAATAATTTTTGAAAGGAATGCAAATTTGGAAAAAAAAACAAATTTCTCACAGAAATCAGAGGATTTGGACAGAAGATATGTTCTCATGCACATGATATGTTCAAAGAAAAAGGGAAGGTTTAGAAAAGAAAGATGTAAAAGAGCATAATGTCCCAGAGATAACCATATCCTAAACTCAGGCATCTATGGACATGTTCCCTCACATAGATAAAAAGGACTTTGAAGATATTATTGAAATGAGGATATTGAATGAGGAGAATTTTCAGGTTTAACAGGGTGGGTCTTGTAGATCACAAAAGTCCTTATAATTCAGAGCTGGAGACAGGCACAACAGAGTCACAGAGACGGTTGCAGGTATCACCTTGCTGGCTTTGAAGATGGCAGAAAAGCCCACCAGCCAAGAAATGCAGGTGGTCTCAACAAGCAGGAAGGGCTGGGAGACACTTTGGCCTGAAAGCTGCATCAGAGGCTGATCTCTTCTAACAGTGTCTTTTCAGGACAATAAGACTCATTTCTGGTAATGTCCTCAGTGTTCAGGCTTTATGACTGAATTTTTAAAAAAGAACTGTTCCAGGATCTTGAAAACAAGACAAACACAGAAATTATTAAAATGATTTATTATAAAGACATTAATAAATTGAAAATGGGCTTCATAATATATATAATATTATATATATATTATATATGGATAGAAAGACAGAGACAGAAAGGCAGAAAAGAAAATTTTAATTTATAGAAAATTGTGCTTTTTGAGACCTAATTCAGAATCATCTTGACCTAGCAAAGGAACAAATCTAAATTAATGAGACAATATGTCACATGCCAGATACAGATACTCTGTTACTTAAAATTAAATTAGCTTCATGTCTAAGATAATCTAGACAAATAGATGCCATGTTATTTTAATATTTACATGATTGGATAAAATATTTCATTATAAATATTTGCTGTTGGTGCATCCATTCAAGTAATTGTAAAGAAAATCGAATTCTAAAAAATCATTTTCTTGTCTACACTGCACATGAATAAGTCTAGTTTTATTGACAGACTGAAAATAGTAAGAAATCACTAGATAGTTCCCCCCAAATGTAAGCAATGTAGCCTTTATCAGAGTGAGTAAGTTGCATATAAACTGTTTCACAAGTGCCAGTTCAGAGAAAAAGAGCACAGGTATCATGATGATGGTTTTCAGACTCACCTTTTAATGGTTGTAATAGTTTAATATTCTCATTGAGATTCATTAACATTGTTGACTTAGATTATTAGAAACTCCAGACTGCCTAATTCAGTGGTCTAGGTTTTATTGGCTCTGTATTGAAATACTGCATCAATGGTAGTAAAGACTTTAAAGTTTCTGATCTCTCCTTTCACATAGCACAGGGTAAACATTGCTATATATGTTAGTTACTTTTCTCTTGCAGTAATAAGTAATAAAACACCATGACCAAGGAAATTTGTAAAAGCCAGTGTTTAATTAGGCACATGCTTCCAGAGGAGTGAAGGCATGATGGCTGGAATAGCTGAGCTCACATCTGTAACCACAAGTGGGAGGCAGAGAGCATACTGGGAACAGCAGGAGTGTTTGAAAACTCACCCTTTGGTGACATACCCCCTCCAATAATTCCACACCTCCTCATCCTCCCTAACAGTCCCACCAGCTGAGGGCCAATACCAAACATGTATGAACATCATTCTCATTAAAACCTCCACAGCATTTGTTTTCAGCATCCAACCAGACACTCCTAATGTCATGCTCTACTTGAGGACATTGGCCTAGACATATCATTTCCACATGCCTGTGAGTGCAAATTTACAAAAAAAAAATTCTGAATATCAAAGGTTGATAGATTTGTATAGCATAAGAAGTTTAGAATTTGTAATTTTAGTAGGGAAAATATGATTCCTCAAAAGAGTAAGATCTTAGAATTCAAAGAAGTGACAGAGTTCAAAAAGCCAAATGAAGAAACAGAACTAAAAAAATAAGAATTTTTTTAAATTGAGAAGTTGCAGGTTCCTATATATATGTATTTTTATAATTAACTTTATTTCATTTATCAGCCACAGATTCCCCTGTCCTCCCTCCTCCCACCACCACCACCCCAGCGTCCCCCCCCCAACCCACCCCCCATTCCCACCTCCTCCAGGGCAAGGATTCCCCTGGGAAGTCAGCTCAGACTGGTAGACTCAGCCCAGGTAAGTCCAGTCCCCTTTTCCCTACACCAAGGCTGAGCAAAGTGTCCAAGCATAGGCCCCAGGCTCCAAAAAGCCAGCCCATGCACCAAGGACAGGTCCTGGCTCCACTGCCTGGGGGCCCCCCAAACAGTTCAAGCTAATCAACTGTCCCACTTATCCAGAGGGCCCAGTCCAGTTTCATGGGGGCTCCTCAGCCATTGGTTCACAGTTCATGTGTTTCCACTAATTTGGCTATTTGTCCCTGTGCTTTTTCCAATCATGGTCTCAACATCTTTCACTCATACAATCCCTCCTCTCTCTCTCTCACAGATTGGGCTCCTAGAGCTCCACCTACGGCTGCGGATCTCTGCATCTATCAGACACTGGATGAGAGTTCTATCAAAACAGCCAGGGTGTTTGGCCACCAGAGCAAGCCAGCTCAGGTACTCTCTCGACCATTGCCAGTAGTCTACAGTGGAGGTATCTTTGTGAATTTCTGGGGAGGTCTCTAGTACTCTACTTCTTCTATTCCCCTCGTGTCTTCATTCATCATGGTATCTCCCTCCCCGTTCTCCTTTGGGGATTTACCTATATATGTAAGAGGAAATTGTAGCTGATGATTAAGAGTGAACTAAAGAATTTTGAGTCATCACTGAAGGAACCAAGGGTTTTGTGAGGGGAGTCAGACACAAGGAAGTTTAAGTGGGGCATTGTACACAAGGAAGAGTTCAGGAAAAAAAATTCTAGACACTGTATTCCTAGGTACTCTAGGGTCTGTTAGGTTTATCAAGACAAGCTTCTTTCTTTCAAAACCTACTGCCATTACATAGGTTCTTATTCAATCAATTTGATATGAACAAAGGACAGAAATAGGCTGAGAAATTTAGGTTCAAAAGACCCCAAAGAAAATTGAGCAATTTTGTTCTTTGTTAAAGGCAAAAATATCCTTACATAATGGCAGCCCAGTCTTTACAGGAGGTCAAATACCAGAGTGTTTAATTTAAATGTCTCTGTTTTTGCCTTGGCAAGAGGATGGATATACCAGAGACAGTATCTGACTTTGGTCACTGTTGTTGTTTTGATCACATTGTTTTCCACTTAATGATCTATTCCTTTCCCGGAAAGTAACTGAGGGTGTGACTGAAACTTCACAGCTCCCAACACCTGCAATGGGAACTACATTAAACCAGTGCATCCCTCCTTCCTTTTCCCATCTATTAAAGTCTTATTAAGTCTGGGGCATCAAGGTTGAGAGGTACCCTGTTTTCTGATACACACCATGTTATATATAATAGGCCCCATTCTTCTCCCCTCCTCTTCTATCACTTTCTCTCACTCTCTCTCTTTCTGAAGCTCCTACTACCCATCTACTAATTTATAATAAACTGCTCTCTAATACTCTAATACTGTGCAGTGCCTCTACACCTGGAGTGGGAACTGGCTGGCCACACACCCCTTCTTTACTCCATCCATCCCCTAGAGCCTTTCTACGTGGTCCTCTGTGGTCCACGGACCCCATTCTTCAAATCTGTGAATTAACAGGTCCCCGGTCCCACTACCTGGGGGCCTCCCAAACAGTTCAAGTTAATCAACTGTCTTACTTATCCAGAGGGCCTGATCCAGTTGGGGGCTTGCCCTGGAGAAGATGGGAATGGGGTGCGTGGGCTGGAGGGAGAGCGGGGGGAGGGGGGGGCTGCGAGGAGGGAGGACAGGGGAATCCGTGGCTGTTATGTAAAATTAAATTAAATTATAAAATCTAAAAAAAGAAAAAATTGTAAGATGATAATCAGAAAGGAATTGGTTTGGGTTTAGCTTTGGTGGCTCTGGATTTGGGAGATGCTATTTCTTCAAAAAGTCCACATTATTCTCAAAGACACCTCAGTTTTTCCATATCATTTCTGTCTTCACATAAACCTATGATGTTTGGGGAAAATGCTGACCTTTTCCCTATTGTAATTATAAATAAAAACTGCCCATAACTTTTAACAGCTGGAGGGAAGATATTCTGCAAATTAGAGCAAACAAAAAATCCCAAGGCTTCCTTATGTTGGTTCTTATTCCTAGGTTCTAGTTTCATGATTAGTAAAGAATACTTGTCATAGTATTCTTCCTTGTAACTGCAGTTGAAGAAACAGCTCAGTTTTAGATTGAGGATATATTAAAGGGGAGAAATGTGTTTTCATTTAACCATGAACAATTACCAGCCATTTCACTGCTTTGGAAACTTCTATCATCTCCTCCTTTAAGTTTGTGGGTGAAGAGGTGTGTGCATATTTGGTTAGTCAGTCATTTTCATCTTAAATCTAGACACATCATAGAACTTCCCTTTGTCTTCTTTGTTACATTTATTAACAAGTAAAACTAAAAGCTGTCTACAACATTTACCTAATGCACACATTTGTGGATTATACTGAAGATACATATGGAGCGGTTTCATAAACTGTCAAATCCTTTGTACCCTCTTAGTATTTGTTCTTCTCTCACCCAATTCACAGCAATCTCAGACAATTGCAATTTAGCTTATTGAATCTGACTCTTCTAAGTACTATGCAACTGATGGTCAGTCTTGTTTTTGAGTTGTCTAAAGTTGCTTCCTTTTTACTGTGAAATAGTACTTTATTATGAAAAAAAAGTCCCATATATTTTCACCCCCAGTCATTGGAATTGTGGAACAGATTTTGGCACCAATGAATAATGACAATATATGCATCTGCAAGCAAGTTTCCATGAGTAAAAACATTGGCATTTACAAAAGGGTTATCTAGGAGTAGGATTTATGGGCATTTGGTATAAGCGTTGTAAAGTCTAAGAAGCTGTTAAATCACTTGGATTTCACCTGTTTCCTTTCCCAGTCTGTATCCTACTTGCACTCTGGCAAACACCAAGAATTGATACATTGTATATAAGAGGGCTACTGATTTTTTGAGTTAATCTTTGCTGAAGGTGTTTATAAGCTGTATGATTTCCTTGGTCGAATTTTTGGGGTCACTTATGTATACTATCATGTCAACTGCAAATAGCGAGCTTGACTTCTTCCTTTCCAATTTGTATCCCCTTGATCTCCTTATGTTGTCTTATTGCTTTGACTAGAACCTCAAGTACTACATTAAATAAGTATGGGGAGAGTGGATAGTCTTGCCTTGTTCCTGATTTTAGTGGAATCGCTTTGAGTTTCTCTCCATTTACTTTGATGTTGGCTGTTGGCTTGCTGTAATTGCCTTTATTATGTTGTATTACATTGACAGACTTTCGTATGTTGAACCACCCTTGCATTCCTGGGATGAAGCCTACTTGATCATGGTGGATAATTGTTTTGACCAATCCCACATCTGACAGAGGGCTGATATCCAGAACATATAATGAACTCAAGAAATTAGACATCAAAATGCCCAAAAGTCCATTTAAGAAATGGGCTATAGAGCTAAACAGAGACTTCTCAACAGAAGAAGCTCAAATATCTGAAAGACTAAAGGAATTGCTCGACATCCCTAATCATCAGGGAAATGCAAATCAAAATGACTCTGAGATACCACCTTACACCTGTCAGAATGGCTAAGATCAAAAACACTGAAGACAGCTATGCTGGAGAGGATGTGGAGCAAGGGGAACTCTCTTCCACTGTTGGTGGGAATGCAAGCTTGTACAGCCACTTTGGAAATCAATATGGTGCTTTCTTAGAAAATTGGGAATCAATCTCCCCCAAGACCCAGCTATACCACTCTTAGGCATATACCCAAGGAATGCTAAAACATACCACAAGGGCACATGCTCAGCTATGTTCATAGCAGAATTGTTTGTAATAGCCAGAACCTGGAGACAACCTAGATGCCCTTCAACTGAAGAATGGATAAATAAAATGTACATATTCACAATGGAGTACTACTCAGCAGAGAAAATCATTGACATCATAAGATTTACAGGCAAATGGATGGATCTAGAAAAAATCATCCTGAGTGAGGTAACCCAGACTCAGAAAGACAAACATGGTATGTACTTACTCATAGGTAGATACTAGATGTAAAGCAAAGGATGACTAGACTGCTACTTACAACTCCAGGGAGGCTACTTAGTAAAGAGGACCCTAATAAAGACACGGGGATCACCCAACAACAGAGAAATGGACGTGATGGGGTGGGTAATGAAGGGCAAGGGTCGGGGGAAAGAGAGCTTAGGGGAGTGAGAGGTCCCAGCTGGATCAAGAACAGAGAGGGAGAACATGGAAAAGGATACCATGATAAATGAAGACCCCCATGGGAATAGGAAGAAGCAAAGTGCTAGAGAGTTCCCCCAGAAATCCACAAAGATACCTCCACAATAGACGACTGACAATGGTCAAGGGAAAGCCTGAACTGACCGACTCTGGTGATCAGATGACCGAACACCCTAACTGTCGTGATAGAACTCTAATCCAATAACTGATGGAAGCGGATGCAGAGATCCAAGGCCAGGCCCCAGGTGGAGCTCCAGGAGTCCAGTTGGTGAGAGATAGGAGGGATTCTATGAGTGAGAGATATTGAGACCATGATTGGAAAAAGCAGAAGGATAAATAGCC